AGAAATGTAATACTAATATCTGAAATGCAAAAGGTATTTCAGGTTGGGAACGAATCACATAAGATTTGAAAATTTTTGATAAGGAAGGAAATGTTCTATAATCTTTAAGATCTGATATGAAGGCTCAGATCCTAAAACAGGAAGGTATCATCATCGAATAACAGTCGTGCAAGAAGATTAGTATATCGATTAGATAGATGATAGAAGAGACTGAATAATAATGAAAATAATAATATAAATTGAAATTAATTTTCAAGTACGAACCAAGGATGTTATATTAACAGCAAATGTTTTCAAAAGCTTACAGAGCTATTGTATTTTTCTTCATGAATTTGTTTGAAAAGATAAAATATGATAGAAATTTTTCTTTTAAAAAAGTTGTCAGTGAAATTCTTAGAAATAATTACATTTGATAGACTGATGGAATAAATTTGTTACTTAATTGCAAAGATCACATCGGTTAAGCAAATATTACAAAAATTAATTGATTGAATATCAACAGATGAACTAAAATGAAATCTTTCAACTGCAACTTGAAAAATTATTCTGAAAATTCATTGCAACGAAAGGGAAAACTTTCATGATACTTGATATTTGATGCAGAAAGTTGCACAGTTGTAGAGAAATCAGCAAAATTCTATCAGATCCTTTCATCTTGCAAGATATTCTGAAAATATCAGCATAGCTGCTTGATTGGATTAAGTTATTTGATTATAATTAGAAGATGACAGAAATATAGCAGTTGGAGGCAATGCATATGTAGGCAGTGCTTCGATGAATGAGACACGAAATTAAAAAATGATTATGTTGAAATCAGCGACAGTTTTGGTTTAATCTGAAGTACTATCTTCTTACAAGTTGAATTAATTTTATATAGTAATTTTAGTTTCTCAGTTCCGATGTATATGATTTCTGTAGCTTTGGAATCTATACTTCCATACAAAATTTCAAAAAGGAACTTTCTCAATCTAAAATTAAATTTCAGTTCCCTATGTGTTTGGAGATATTGCGTCAGGTAATAGGCTCAAAATGTCTTTACGTTATAGCTGTCCAAACAATCTAGCGAAATGGAATTTCGTTTTGTGTTTCAAGTAGAACTGGTTATTCATAAAAACCAAATGGAGATTTTAACATAGATATAAGAAAATAGAAATTTGATAAGAGACGGGAATATGTGTACTCTTTAAATATCAGAGAGCAGCATAAGTGAGAAAATAGATATCCTTTAATAGGAAACAAATATATTGCTTCTTACTGCTTTCACTTAAAAAATTTCTTAGGTGTCTTCGGCACATTTTCATAAAGCATGATTGAGAACTAGTAGTGTTATTGTGCAAACAAGTAGTGAAGTGCTTTTAAACGGTATTTCTGCTCCAGCTGGATGATGCAAGGTGTGAGAATCGTGAGGTCTTGTTGTGGTTGCACCTGGTGTGCAGCAACAGATACCATTCCCGTCTGGACATGGCTGTAAATTCAATAATCCAAAAAGTTATCAGTAGCATTTTTTGATGATATGTTTTATGACAGTAACAAACAGTGCTATCTGCACAGATAGAGGAATTGGAAGAGGAAAGCGACAAAGTTGAATTTGATGAACAAGCTGAAGGAACTGCAAAACTTACCATACAACACTGCGTGGTAATTTTTGGTTGTTGTAGGTTGAAAAACGATAATTGTAATGGTTGAAGATTATACAGCAGATACTGCTGGTGTGGTATAATACTGATTGGTGCAGGAAACTGTACTTGAGGTACACGGATTTGTACTGCAGCACCTGGACGTCCAACATAAGCATTGATAAGTCCTGCTCCACCGTTGCTAATAAATTCTCCATCAGTACCGCTGACCATTGTAGCAGTCAATCCTCCACACCCTTAAAGTGCATATCTTACGTTTATTCTTAATTAGATTAAATAAATAGATAAACAAAGGGGCTCATAAACAAGTTTAACATCAATGAAGTTCAAATAAATACTAAGTGTATCAGTTTGAAAATTGAAGATATTTCAGAAATAATAAAGATACATCAAGATTATTCTGTTCAGGACAAATCAGAATTATGGATATATCGTTTTCAGTAATTCTCCTTCATTATTTTAACAGAAAGCGGTTCAACTTTTAATACCTGTTAGAGAACGTGCTATCAAATTGACTGTGTTGATGAAACCACTTCCTAAATTGGTGGCAACTTTACCTGTGCTCTCATCTCCGTCCACTGTACATTTACAGCAAAATTTCGAATCTTTTTTATTAGCAACTGCAACTGGTAAGGAAGCAGTTGTTAAAATTATGCAAGCGGACATCAGTACATAGCATATCGTACGTAACATTCTTACCCTAAAATAACACAAAATATATCATCATTACAAAATGACTTGACACAAAATGATCACAGCGTACTCTAGCTATGAGGAAGGCAAAAAACAGACTAATTTTATGATTTTACTAATTTTGTTTAGCTTTTCCATCTACTTAATTTTAATTTCCATTAAATAACCGCACGCACTATTATTTCCTTTCGAGATCACTAGAATTGTCTGATGATTTAGATATCCAAGAAGTTCACTATACTAGTACTGTTTAATTGTATTCAGTTGATAGCTTAATTACAACATATATTAAAAAGTTATATTAAAGGACCAATATTGTGAAATTTCTTCGGAGATAGAAGACTAGCTACCCCAAATTTTGGAATGGTTCAAGCATCCTGATATTCTAACTAGGCTTCTAATGATTTGGGTCATCTGACTTTGACAACAGAATAATGATTTGAAGGTTCCTATGTATATATTATATATACGTAAAACTTTGCTAGCTTATAAAGTTCAAATGATATCCTATTAAATCTAAATTAGTGTTCTCTATAAAATCAAATTTAAGAAATTAAGCTTAATATTAAAGAAAGTAGAGTTATGTAAGTAATGGCAACATACTTTTGATATTATCATAAACAAATTTCTAAAGAGCAAAAATTATACCAAGATATTACATTGCAAATGATGCCTCATCATCGTGTTCTACAGAAAAACTGTGATCGGAAGAGCTTGTTACTGAGTATGCACCAAAATCAAGATGCATTTTGATATTAATTGAAACATTTTGTGGAAAACAGAAAAGACTCAATAGCAGGAAAAGTTTTTGCAAAAACTGACTCATTGTTAAAAGTATCGCTTCCATTTCAAATCAAAAGAAAAGCATCCTTCCCAAGTCAGAAATATGTGGTAGAGAATGTATCAGTAAAGGCAGTAAAGGACGTATTAACTATAGTGTTACGATACACATAACATTTGTGATCCGTTCTTTTTAAGAAACGATGGTTTCTGATTGAAGAAATAATTCCTGCATGACATTAGCAAAGTTGATTCCTTCATTGCTCATATCTTACATATAATTCCATTGTTAGTGCATTTCTTTCAAATTATACAGTTTTTTAAGAAAATCTGAAATCAACTTTCCTTTAAGGTCAAGCAGAAGAAATGGTCAAGTGGTCTAAGTGTTCCAGTTGTTCAACATTTCCCATTTCTTCAGAACTCAACGAATATAAACATAATCTGACAGGATGTTAATATTTATCCTTCTTAAAAATAATGTTATGGCTTATTAGGCAAGCATCTTTGAGTAGCATGAAAAGGTATATACAATCTCACCTGAATCTTCCTGGGTTCAGTATCTCTCAATTATCTTCAAACGTCTATTTCTGTGCTTCAGGAAGAATAACCTCAAGTAGCTAAAAATTTCGCTCATTAAGCAATGCATTAATGACTTTCATTGTAAAATGTTACATTTTTCTATTAAAACATTTTTTTTGATTCGGTCGTTGTGCACCACTACCTATAATTGTTACTGTCCAAAGAGTTAATGCTCATACTATCACGTATTTGCTACATTTAAACGAAAATGTTACCGGAAAATATTGACTTCAAAAATTTAATTTATAATTCTGATTTCATTAACTGCGGTTCACTAGAAATTTTTACTTATCTCATCAGCAACCATCATTCCAATGCTAACTGTTCAAGTTTTATGCATCTCTCACCCAGCAAAACCGTTGATCGTCTAATATCTCATCCTGTGGACAAGAGTTAGTATTTCTGCTCTCAGTCCCTTACTCACTATGATTTAATTGTCCTATTTTCAACTTGCAAAATGAAAATTGTTTAGGTAAAATGATTCTGTTAAATTGCAAAAATAACCAAAACCGTATTTATAATTTAAGCGATTAAACATAAATGCTTGTTTAGCTTGATAACTAAACTTTGAATTAAACAATTTTTATGCCCACTATTCTCGTCGCATTTTATTATACTATGGATTATAAATACAGTACAGCTTTCTAAAATCCACTTTGCCACACTCTTTGTTGATCATTTGGTCATATCCTCACACCTCCAAACACTGACTGAGGAGAAAAATCTCGACAGTTCATTCCATCATACAACTCATCAAAATAACAACTTTATTGATTGATACATCACTCGATTTACTACGAATTTATAAGCATCTCAGCCCGTTTATTTGGCAGTTTTTGTACACCTTCAATTTTTGTACGGGAACTCTCGGAATACCAACTGAAGTACTGGTAATTCCAGAAACAGTAGATGAAGTATTTGATGAGGTGCTATAAAATTCCTTTTTCTCTTTAGCTAATATTGCATTTAGTACAGCCGACTTTCCTATCTAATTCTTCAAATAAATAAACATCTCTGATACGCGGAAATGAAATCTTCGATTCGAAAGTTTTCATTCTATTCACCTTTCCAATCAGTTGCGATTTAACAGCTGGAAGTGTTAAGGCCGCCTTTCTGTGTTAGTTCCCTGAGTTGATTTTGTTTCTGACTAGTGGTGAGAGGATGTAGGAGGAAACTGAGGAAATAAAAGTGCTGGTACTTGTATTTCTCCAGAATAAGTTGTTTTAGTTCATTCGTCCCAGTCGTATTCGGCTTTAAGGTTTTTAAGCTATTAATATATAGTCTAAAGTGAGATCTTTGTAGCAGGCTTAAATGTCTGCATCCGGTGTACGGATTGTGAATGCCAATCGGGAGCGCATTTACAAGGCATCATTGTCACTTTCCGGATGCGGGTTTCTTTCCATATATCATGCTGGTGTATGTGCAGCTATTAAAGAATATGCTCCACAGCTGCTTCAAAATCGAATTTCTGGTGCCTCTGCCGGATCTATCATCGCTGCAGGTGTTATCTGTAATGTGTGCATTTCTCATGCTGCGAGATTCTTTCTCAGCGTCGTTTCTGAAGTAAGCTTTAAAGTAACAGAAGTCACTGAAACAACTCAGCAATAATTTCTTTTTCTTTTTTTTTTTTTTTTTTTTTTACTGAAATGATTAAGATATTCAGGCGAGAAATAATATCTTTTCAAAACATGTATATTTAATTGGCACTGTTTCCTTTATATGCTCTATGTGTAGTTGTTATATTTCATTATCTTCAGATAAGATCATATACATTTGGTGTTCTAAATCGAGATTTTGACTTGATGAAAATGGTGCGGACGAAACTAAATGTTATCTTACCAGCTAATGCTCATGAACTTTGTACTGGTCGGTTGAGGATTTCGGTAACTCGATTCCGTGACATGGAAAATGTGATATTGGATGAATTTTGCACCAAAGATGAACTCATCGATGTATTTTTTTCTCTTTATTTCATTTTGCTTTATTGGCGATATGCAGTGATAGTGGGTTGAGCCGTCACTTTTTAAAGTTGTTTTATATGTTTGCTTTATCAGTAAATATACATGTGACCATGTTTGGTTGATTAATTTGTGAATGTGAATAAACAATAAAAAACTTTTACAACTTTTAGTCAAGGAATAGAGAAAAGTTTATTCTAGTAGTTAAGAGTATTAAAAGTTTTTTGGTGTGGAATATGAAAAATAGGAATGGTAATTTAGATAGATATGACTTTTATACATGATACTTTAAAAATGGTATTATCTTTATATCTGCATTTCTTTATCAATACTAAATTGCGAAATATCTGAGAATGGCAGTCTTTAGATGTTGTTCATTGCAGGCAATTTGTTGTAGCTGTTTTATTCCTGTATACGGTGGCTTTGTTTATCCAACATTCCGAGATGAAATTTACATCGATGGTGGTGCTAGTGATAACCAGCCGGTTACTGACACTGATACCATCACAGTTTCGCCATTTTCGGGTGAATCTGACATTTGTCCAACAGACGAAGAAAGTGCAAGGTTAAAATATTCATACTAAATTGAGCAAGACATGTTACATTGTAATTGGCTTCCATTATTTCTTATGCAACCTCTAGGAACTAAGCTGAGCATGACCATAGCTTAGAATTGATTGTGAATACTGGAAATGCTGAATTTTAGCACTGATTGTTTTAAATTTTAAAATCATGAAATCTTTTTAACTGCAGCTTATTTGAATGGAATTTTGCTGGAACTTCTATTCGATTGACAGCAAATAATTTATATCGCGCTGCTTTATGTCTTTTCCCTCCATCTGCTGAGGAATGCGCATCCATGTGTCGAAGTGGTTTCAATGATGCCTTGAAATTTCTTGTTAATAATGGTAAGTTAGAAAAGAAAAATGATGTTTTGTAATAGCGTAGCTGAAACTGTGCTGAACTTAAGCGTGTTTATTTAGTTTGTGCGTTTCGTATTGAAATTTATCAACGTATCCTGGAAAACCCTTATGTTTTCAAACTGACAAAATGGTATAAAACAAATTGCGGCATACTTTCATTATTTTTGGGTTTTTAGTATCAATTTTGTGAGACTTACTTGCTTGATTTACTGGATTTTGGATTTTTCCGGATTTTTGGAAGGCATGTAGAAATTTATCCTTATTTTCAGGATTCACATCAAATGCAATTTGTATTTCGGTCGACATTGATTTATTAACCAACTTCAACCAAACAAGTGAAGCAGTTGATGCCGCGGTGCCATCAAACTCTGCAATTTTCAAGAAAAGGTTGATTTATGTGTCAAAGCTCATATTCAAAATTACTTTCCGAATTGCGGACTTCGTGACTTGTTTGGAATACAACTAGTTTATTACAGATTTCTGATCAGAAAATCATTTTGTTATCTGTACAGTCATGAAACTTGACATTAATCTAGCCTACATCGCGAGGGGGCATTATTTTGCATTACAACCTGTGTTTATTATTTTGCACAAAACTTCCTTTAAAAGAGATTTTTTTTTCGTGATATCAAATTGGCAAAAAGTTCTTTTGCTTGCATTTTTTTTACTTATTTCAGTTATCAGAATGAAGAAATAGCTGGATATATTGATGCTATTCTTGCAACGAAGACTACTCAGTTACCGCACTCGATGCAGAGCGGTAGCAGCAGTTCATTTACATTTTTCTTATTGAGTTAATATTTAAAAAAAAGAAAAAAAAAACATATCTATTTTTTAAATTATAACTCGGAAAGTGGAGGGAATCAAAACAAATTATTCCTGTAAAAAATGGTTTCCATTTCTGTAGGAGTTATGAGGAGATTTCAGCATTAATGGAAACAATGAAAAAGAATTGGTTTTTGGATTACATTCGTTCATTTCGAGTTATTCAGTTAGCTCACTATATGACATTTCCCCTAACTGTGGCATATCAATGGTTCAAATTTTGTCTTTGGTTCGTGAATACGTTTACTTTTTGTAGCTATATTTTTATTGTACCGATATTTAAAAATTTTTGAATTTAATTTTTGAAGATTATTTCTATATTGTTTTCTGTTATGAATGGACTTGATTTCTCACAAGTTTTTAAAAAGAATTGCATCTCTTTTCCGTCTTTCAGAAAAACCTGCAAACTGTCTTAGAAAATTAGGGATTAGATAATAATGAGATCCAGATCAAAAAGCAGAACCATAACCATTCGTTTTTTATCGCAAAAAAAAGATATGAACAAAATTTCAGCTTAAGTACTTGGCTCACTGTGCGAATTACCAGACATATGACAGAGGACTGGCACAGTGTGCAGGTGAAGCGCATCCTCGATTTCATTCTGAATGAGATTCATGTGCAGGAAGCGGAAGTTTCTGCTAGGTAAACTTGTCTTTTTCAATCACAAAACTTTGCAGTTGTTATTTTCAACACTGCAACATATCCAAATTTCTATTATTTAAGCAACTTGTTTTGTTTTAAATTTGGTTCCGGCGAAAACATTGCTGTTGGTTTCATTTTTAGACTTAGCCAACAGTTAGCAATTACTGAAGTTCACTTCTATGGAACTAATCAACATCCTGTTGTTCGAGAACAACTTAATGTTAACTTGTCATCAGAAGCTATCAAAGAGAAAGAAGTATTGGGATTCATGGATAGATTGTTATCGAAAACAACATTATCATGTGTTAAGGTTTGTGGTTTGCTAGATATGAAGACAGAATAACTGCTTACCAAAGACAGATCAAAATACTTAAACATTATCAGATATCTAGTTTTCTGAAATGTAGTGTTCGACAAACAGTCACACTATATTCCAACGAAATTAGGAGCCCTAGTAATACGAATAAATATAATGTATTGAGTGTTCAATGTAGTATATTACTTGTGTTGCTAGGACTCCCTATTTTTGTCGTCGATTAACAAAGGGTCTTTTTCTAAAGGTTATTTCTCAGTATTCATAAATTCGATTGCAGGGTAACTCTGACGTTTTTTCCTGTGGAGAAAAATTCTGCTCTTTTCAATCCTAGTTTGCACACAAAGGAGCGAAATACATCAGAAGGCGAAAAACTTGAAGTAAAATTAGTGGTGTCAGAAAATATTACACCTCTCTGATTTAATATGCCCTGTTTTGAGAGTTTATGTACAAGAAAAGCTTGCTGTAAGATATTATCCTTCGCAAGAAAATTACAGGTTTAAAGCAACCAGTTAAAATTAGGTTGTTCAGTGTGTGATATTCGCTTTAGATCATTCGATGCAACGATGTCATCCGATGTGTAACAACTAAACATTTCGCGGCAAATTGTAATCTTAAATATTCCTCATTAAAAGCAGTTTCTTAAGATAGTTTAAGTTATCCTAGTACTTTTCTTACAGCTTTTTTGCTAACGCAACTTTCACCTGGACTGGTCAGGTTTGATTTTAACACTTCGTCACATTCATTTTCATCAGAACTAGTCAGTTTCAGTTTATACTTATTTATGTATTCATCGTGCATGCATTTATTTTTTAACTTTACTTTTAAAACTTTTAAAAGAATAGTTGAAGTGTCTTGTTTCATGACGTCCTATTATGATTTGGATAGCAATTTTGTTTGATTCTCATTTGCCGAACACTGTGGGTTGCTTCCACAGAAGTTTTTGTAATTTTTTCTTCATGTTAACATTCTGATTTTTTTTCAGTTAAAAATTACGTTATACGTTTGAATAAAAATTACATTACAATGTTTATTCAGGATTTTTTTAACCGGAAAATGTGAGTGTCTTTAAAAAAAATTGATGTCAATTTTAGAGGAATTTACGATGAAAATTGAATTCTGTTCTGCCAACAGTCAGAATGCTTAATAATAAAATTGATATTCTTTATACATCGGAGAAACGTGACTAAATGCGCTCTTATTCGTTTGCGAAACGGCTCACGGTAACTGCTTTAAGAAGACTAGTAAGATGTGAGGTTGGTGTGGTACACATTTCATTCAAAGATTCAGTCCAATTTTGTCCAAGTCTGGTTGCATCGGAGTTGTATGCTACTCATTTGTGCTGGTCAGTAATTCCTGAGCGGTACTTCGGATGTGTTGGATTTTGATGTTGAGGGGTGCAGTGCAAGAGGTGTAGTGAGGACAGCATAACTTTTGATGATGGTGATATATCGGTGACAGACTTCAAGTCATCGAAGACAGTGAAGAAGTCTTGCATGAACTACCCTATCTCTTTTATTAATCATGTTTGTATTCTTGGCCTCCATTCCTTCCATAAGAATTTGAATTTCGTACTCTTGGACTGGTCAAAGATCACTGTTAGTTTTTATCGCTTTAAATGGTCGTGCAAAAGTGTTCTCTATAAACAAAGCTTTGTTTCATTGCGGTAGATCTAGTTGCCATATTTGATGACATACTGAAATGCTAGATTATGGTTAGTAACTCTACACCTTATCGATCTTTCTCTCCGTTCTGTGGTGATTTCTACTGATAGTACAAAATACTGTATTCCAAGTGACAAGAATATTATGAAGCATTAGAGCTTCAGTTGACTATACACCATTAATTACTTTATATTTTGTTTTTTGGGTTTGAAGTTTTATGCAAATATTAGGAATGGAGTAGTTACACGACATTATTATCTATTGTGTTGCATCAATTGTGCAATCAATGGCTTACATATGGTGTTGTAGTGAATTTAAATGTTGCTAATTTCAGTTATGGATATTGTTACCCCTAAAAGCGACGGCGGTGTGCAGATGTCACAATATCAATGCTCATTTTACTCGTTACGTCCTAAACAAGTTGATTTTGATGCTACTTGGAAAAGCATTGAAAATTCAATCAAGAGGATCATGAAATTACAACCACTGGAGCGGCGTATTTGGGACTACAATTTCTAGTTAATAATGATTTTTTCAAACCGCTTTTTTGAGATGAATTCATTCCTGTAGCTTACATTACGCTAATACTTATTCTAAATTAAGTCTTGCCAGTGAACCTATGTTTCCATGGACATATATTATGTAAAGCAAATCCATTATCTTCGATCGATTCTTCCTACATCAAGTGATTCTTAGGATACAAATTCCACAAATCATTTTACAGGAAATAATCTTCCATTCTACTACAACATACGTAACATTGAAATAGAATTATTAAAGATGTTATTTGATCTTATTTTATTTAATCTATTATCCTTTGCAATTTTTAATGTCGACTACCATTTATATAAGAAAATGATCGAAATATCACGCTTTGCTTTCATGTTAATTCGATCGTTAATTCTTACTATACTATTAGGATATCAGGAGATATCAGATGACTAAAATGACTGAATTAAGTGAACTGGCACTTGTAGTATCTCAGCAATCATTTCAGTGATATCTATTCTTTATGTGTTGCGATTCCCGAGCCATTAAGTGAACGTCTGTATGGAAAAACAAAAGAATGTTTGGAATTACATGTTACTGAATTGTATCAGGTAACAAATAGAACTTGTATCAGATAACAAATATGAACTTCCATAACGTTGATTTCGTACGAAGTCGTTTGTATGTTGTCTGCTCAGTTCATTTAACTTCTCTGTGCTTTCATTTTTTTTCTTTCTACATATGAATTTTTTTCTAGGAGATAAACTCAGCAAGTGATTCTGAGCTTCTTAATACTTACTGCCAACTTTGGAACGTATATTATAAAGGAGCATTATGTGTTCACAATCTTTTTGGGTAAGTAACTGCTTAACTGATAAGTGAAAAACTGTCGAACGTTCATTGTTTTTGCGGACACATATTATACGGGAGCATTATGTGTTCACAATTCTTTTTGGATAAGTAACTGCTTAACTGGTAGGTGAAAAGCTGTCGAAAGTTTATTGTTTTTGTGGACACATATTTTGATTCTTGTTTTTATTCGTTATGCATTTTCTCTTAATATAATGAGAGATGTTCAACTTGGAAATGCAAAAGTAAAACCCCTAAACGATTACATTTGTTGACATGTTTTAAAGGTACCTTAATAAGCAGTATATCAAAATTAAGCGCTGTACTGAAATTGAAGGTGGATACGGAGCTTATAGTCAATATCTTACACAAAAAGATGTCAAGGAGATTGGTTTGGTACATTTTTTATTCCTTTTTAGCCTTTTATCAAATTACATTTTTTCTTTTTCCTTTTTAGGCTATGATCAAAGTAGTTTTGCTCTTCTGCTAATTGACTTGATGCGTTGTGATGATCAAAATCATTCCTTCATTTTTGCTGATAATGTTTCTGACTTCGTATTCATTTTTTTTATGAGAATATTGTTAGTTCACCTAGATTATAGAGCTTTCAGCTTGTTCCAATTTGCTTGTTGCTTGTTTTCCCTAAACTAAGGATTGAAGCATTAGTGGTTTATTGCTGCTTATTTGCGATTTATACTTCTTTTTTAATGTTTTGTACTTCTCTAATTTTTAGAGAAAATTGCTTTCTATAAGACGTAAATTATGTGTTTCATACTTGCTTTATAGCTTGCAATGGAAATTTGGCGTAAAAAATTAATAGATCCGATGGAAAAGCGACTGGTTGGTCATGTATTAACTGCTATTGCTGCGGATCGTGAAGGAAGAAACAGCATTCCTGTAGACACTGTCCGGGGTGTTATCATGTCCTTTGTTCAAGTATGCAAGTTAAACTTCTTATGTTCTCGTTCCTGTATCTGTTTCTAACTGTATTGAAATACTGTTGATTAGTTCTAGATAACTTTTTCTAATTATCTAAAAAAAAAAAATTAGCAAATGTGGAGCTTCATTATCGATGTTTCATTCAGGTATAAATAGTTGGATGAGATCCAGTCATTTGAGGAAAAGGTTGCCTTTCAATGATGTTAATAAGGCGAAAAGTGAGCATAGGCCATATCTAAAACGACAGAAAAATCTTTTGACATGCTATTTGTGTTTTGCAGGTGGACGATGTGGAGGGCATGCGTGAAATATTAGATAAATCACTATCAAATTTACCGCAGAATTACGATACTTATCGGGAAATGTTTGAAAAAAAGTTCCTGCAAACAACAACTGAGTATTATACAGTGCTGTCCAACAAATTACTTAGTGAACTCAGCTGTTCTCAGTATATGGAATCCGTAAGTTATTTTTTAAAAGTTATTTTCAAATTATTACTATAATCCGACTTCCAGTTTTAAAATCACCAAGATGTAAAATTTAACTTGAGCGCATTATCGTTGTTCAGAAGGTAGTGATTCGGTGGAATAATAAACATATATTCTTGACGATTCTAGAAAATCAGATTCTTGTGGACGCCGGCTGATATAAAGTAAACAAATCTGTCAGTGTTACTGCATGATTACAATGAAATGATCACAACAGTTTGTAAAAAAAAAAAAGGAACCAGAAATTTGTTTCTTATTGCAGTGATGTTGAGTTTATATATTGTAATCCAAATAATCATCAGTAAGTGTATAATTTTAAGGTAATTACGCGAATAGAGGAAGAAAATGAGCGTTCAGTTCGTTTCCTGCACAAAAGTAGCCATGAGAAAGTTACCAAATTATGTCAGGATGTAATGGTGGATGCTCACAAAGAACGTCTGTATGCCGTTTGTCATGAATATATCGAAGGCGAATGCATGACTGGTATCTTTTCATTTATTTACTGGATAAGACTGGATTATTGCAGAAATCCTATAACTGGAAGCTTCTTGATATTTTTTGATTTCAAAATTGTCAGTTTCAGTTCCTTATCGGATTGTTT